CTCATTCATTTCATTCATTCTCCCTTCCATCCATCATCCACTATTTTTAACTCTTTTCAGGAATACATTGCTGCCAAATATGAGAAACTTCGTGTTTAACAACTTGCAGCAGTTCCAGGTTTGTTCGCTCATTTTATCTGATTTCATTTCTCTACAGTAGAATCTCTGTTTAGCGACCAGTTGTCAAAGATCCCAGAAGAATTTTTTCACTGTCATACGTTTCAAAGTCCCAAAGAGGTTTTTTGAACTAATTTATACCTCTATCGTACGGCCAACCTCTATTTAGTGACCAATTTTCTAAATTCCCACAATTTTTTTTTTTTTTTTTTTTGCAATAATTTATACCTTTATCAAGCGACTATCTGTATTTAGCAACCAAGGTCGAATTACATCTTAAGTTCTCTTATTCGTTTTCAAGGGACTCGTTTTCAAAACCTTCGAACCGTTGACCATCCTTGATCCAGACATCGTAGCCGATCTAATCCCAGCTTTTAAGCAATCTATAACWCAGAGCGAACAGAAGCGAGGAGTGGGCTCAGATTCACAGCTGAGGAGTGCACTTAGGAATTTACTTCAACGTATTGGAAAAGCTCACGAAGTGGAGCTGCATTAGCAGACATAGAAACGGACATTAGTTTTATGGGTTCCCTGTGGCTATTTCTTTTTAAGCTGGTTGATGCGTCTTTTCATTATATCTGATTGGTTCATGGATAAARCCTTGTATATATACTTTGTAAAATACTGTAATTAGAATATGGCATAGAAACTAGCATTTATAATAAAAAAGAAATTCATACGTTCTTATTGTCATTCAGTTTAATGACAGACAACAGGTGTGGGTCATAAGGACTTAGATTAAACGGCCGTAAATAGAAATTTTAACATTGCAACTTTTTCTAAAGAGAGTTTTTGCAAGAAACACGATTCATAAGAATATTTAACGCTAAAAAGACATTTCGACACAACTGATAAGGCTAACATCGAGTTATAATCCAACTAGGGAAGAAACCGTGTGTCCTTGGCTAAGATTTCCTCACAAGAAAGTGGATAATTGGTCGCTATTGTAATTTTCTGGCGTGATAGGGGTCAGAGTCGCTTGTTCTCGAGACATGGGATATGGGACAAGCTGTTGAACATCTGCTGTGTTCTTAAATGAATGGTACATAATCAGCTTTCACATGAAAACGCTTTTATCAATTTAGAGGCAAGAGTTGCAAAGTTTATRTAAAATCAATGCCTAAAGCTGCTGGAAAGGTTGATGTTGGTATTAGTCTTTGGTATCTTTTCTTTCTCCTTTCTTTCTTTCTTCCTCCTTTCTTTCTTTCTTCCTTTCTTTCTTTCTTTCTTTCTTTCTTTCTTTCTTTCTTTCTTTCTTTCTTTCTTTCTTTCTTTCTTTCTTTCTTTCTTTCTTTCTCTTTTTTCTTTCTTTCTTCCTTTCTTTTTTCTTTCTTTCTTTCTTTCCTCCTATCTATCTTTCTTTCCTCCTATCTATCTTTCTTTTTTCACAAATTTTTTGCACTATAATGAATGCTATTGTTTCGTGTATTCGTACTTCTCGCTTTGATAAGGTCTCGCGCCACCTTAATTTTCACTTAGCAACCACTTGACATGCAGATGGTGGACAAATATGTAGGCTATTGTTAACAGGAACTTGTTTTTATTCCGAATTATTCGTGTTTTTCTACCATTGTGCTGACACCATGAACAGTTTAGTTTCTCTCCTCTCTCCCTTCTTAGTTTTATTGATTTTCAAATTCTTAATTGCTGTAAATTCGGCCGAAAATGACGACCCATCGACATGGCCTGGACATTTGGAGCCATTAGGCTCTCAAAACGAAAAATTATCACTCGAAACTGTTCACAGCTTTCCTTCACCACAAGACTTCTTCTCAAAATACGTTAGTACGATTACTCCTCTTCTAATTAAAGGGGGAGCTAAACTTTCTCCAGCTTTTTCTAAGTGGACRGACGAGTATTTCAAGTCGTTACCTGAAGCCAAAAAATACACGGTCGTGGCTGAACAGGGAAAGAAGGAAAACAGAACGAATCCTGCTCAAGATCTGGCTTTTTATGACTTTGTAGACACGTATAAGAAGAAGGATATTTATATGGTACATGGGGTTCTACCATTTCTTCAGTAAGTATAGATAAAGGCTGTCTTATATTAAATTTATCAGCTGGTTTCTTGATTAAATATAAAAAATATTAGCTTACTCCAGAAGGTCGTGCAGTTTGACACGCTTTTATTTACTTTTATTCCAATTTAAGCTTTTACTTTCAAAGAACTTAAGTGTAATTAAGACTGTCAATGAAAAATATGGTCAAATATTTTGAATATTCTTAAAAAATAAGTAAATTTTAAWGTAGCCTAAATAATTCCTATGATCCCTCCCTCCCTTAGTATAAACAAATTTGATAAGATATACATTGATAAAAAATTGTAATAGATAATAAATTRCTTTTAAATTTCACCAGGAAAGATGTTATTTTACCTCCATCACTACAATGTGAGGATATTACTGACAATATGTTAGTAGATACGGTAAGTATAGGCCTCACTGCTATAGTAGTGTCCATGACAACCTCAACTATGGATATAAATGTTACAATCAGAAGGCTAAGAGCATATGCATGTTACATCATAGCTGCCATCTTGGTTGAAGATAACAAAGCATTCCTCATTAGCATCTCTCGTTAGATCAACCAAGATGGCAGCTGTGCCATTGTTATTTATATCTCAAGGGATTTTGAGTCACATGGTTGCACACACTGTATTGGATACTTACAAAGATTCTTTATTGATGGACAAATTACAAGATGAAAAGAAATCTTCATTTGTAATCCATGAATATTGCTGACGATATTGCTAATAATCCAGCTATAAACCTCTTGCATTGTTCAAAATTGGATATAATAACTKTCAAAATTAATGGGGCTCCACTCTAGTTATTTTAAAAAGTCATAATTCTTAACTCAATATTATTCTCTTTCTATCATGATTATTAGGTCATGTGGTTTAGCAGTGGAGGTACTAAGTCAGTTCTTCATAATGATGATGTTGACAATATCAATTGTTTATTTAGTGGAACAAAAGAGTTAGTATTCATTGACTATAAGAAGTACAATAAAAAGGTAGGTCTTTTTTAATGATAGTAATAATAATAATAATAACTTTACAATGACTGTAAAGCAATTAAAAATTTTATCAATGATTTTTTTTTTCTTTTTTTTTTTTTTTTAAATTTTTGTGTGTTTAAAACCCTCTAGGTAAAAATAGACCATCCCTCAGGAGGATACTCTGGAGTAGATGTTGATAGGTACAGTATAGATCCTTATATGAAATTATGATTACTAGTTACTCATGCTCTGATTGGTTTAACCRCAAACCAGTTGGCTCAGTTGGTTGAGCATCAGACTTTTGTGCAGGAGGTCATGGTTCAAGTCCCKGCCAGACCAACACTCAGGGTCTTAAAATAACTGAGGAGAAAGTGCTGCCTTTGTAATTACATCTGCAAATGGTTAGACTTTCAAGTGGCTCAGATGACCACTTTAAATGGCGGTCCTCTCTCTCCACCCTCATTACTAACCAACATCAGAGGGACGTAAAAGAACCACTGAAACCACTGTGTGTTTAAAAGAAACCCTGGCAGTGACCACCCTCAGTTTGACTTTGGCACCAAAATTTAATTCATGATGGATTTGGCAGGAAAAAGGTACATTGCCCTCTCCCTACATCCCTATCATAAATCTTAAAAGTGTCACTTCATTATTTATAGGGTTGATTTTACCAAGTACCCAGGCCTGCGAGACGTTCAGGTCTATCAYGTTGCTATGGAACCAGGAGACTGTCTATTTATACCTTACAAATGGTGAGACTGTCATATATATCCTGTCTTGCTTTTATATCCTTGTCTTTTGTTCTCTCTTTTTGTTTTTCTACAGGTTCCCCCACCCCCCCCCCCCCCCCCTAACTTGGGTAATCTATACTTGATATTTTATTCCTTGTTTCCACCTCCACCCGATTAGCTCAGTTGGTAAAAGCATTGGTCTGTTGTGCGGGAGGTTGTGGTTCAAGCCTCGGCCGGGCAAACTCTCAGAGTCGTAAAATAACTGAGSAGAAAGTGCTGCCTTTATTGAATATACATCTTCAAATGGTTAGAACTTCACGTGGCTCGGATGATAACGTTAATGGCAGTCCTTTCCCTAATTAACTACAGACATTAAAAGAGGGACATGAATTTATCAGTTGAATGACTGTCAAGTGTTATCCTTTATAAACAAAGTTAATCATTATTTTCATTTCCCACTTTTAGGTTTCACCAAGTCAGATCCTATGATCGTAATATTGCTGTCAATGTCTGGTTCACACACAAGCCAGGATTTGAACCCCAGAAATGCGATCCTGCCTTAAACAAAGAACCTGAAACTCTAGACAAATTCAAGTTTTCAGTACTAGAAGCTCAAGCCAAGGGGGAAGAACAAGGACCAGTTGATTTAATGTACGTTAACATTTAAAATACATCCATTTCAAAAAACGTTGTTTGTCGGAGATGTAAAACGGGCTAATCCAGGATTTTGTTAAGGGAAGGGTGCTGCGCACAAAGTTAACCCAGGGAGAGGTGCATGCATCTAAGCATGTGCATCGAAGCTGAAATTGAGCCCATGTCAATCATGATGTCATCGTATTCGAAAAATTTCAGGTACAAAATGTTCTCCGTCCACACTAATACTGCTACCGAGCTGGCGTTTTCAAATTGTTCCACTCTCAAGACTGTATTYGGAAAAAATCGTTTTCAGGCCTAACTATATAAATAAAAATTYGGATTCAAATTTATCCGGCATAGTGTGAATGGGGCCTAAGACTTTCCTCTCATCTCATTTTTTATATTTATTTTATCTGATTTTTCCTTCACTTTTCAGGGAGTATTTTGCTGGTTTCTTGAAGGAGCTAGATGATGAGGAAATGACCTTAGAAATGTTYGTTCAAAGGATGAAAAATGTGAGTAGAAGTTGAAGTAAAAATTTCACATAAAAGACTACACCTTYCCCTCCCCTTCCCCCTCCACAAAGTGAGACACAGGTAGCCCAATTGAAGACTTAATCATTATATGACCCCYCCTCTTCAATCCATTATTCTCATCAATTCAGTGTTTTCAATTAATCAAATATTGCTCTCTACTAGGAYGAAGTGTTAATGGGCAACGGAAAATACAAGTGGAATGAAAAATTTTCAAACGTCATACAAAATGTAAGTTCATACGATGGCTAGCGGGTACTAGTTGGGACAAATAGAGAAAATGTAGAATTGAAAAAAGAGCCATTTTCCCCCTCTTCCCCCACCCCCACCC